GAATTTTACGGAGACTTGCCACGGTCTCCAACCCTCCTCCTTTCTCATCCGGGCTTTGGACCGGCCATGGAGGAGTTGCTCAAATAATCTTGAAACCGTTTTTGCATGTAGACAATTCTTAAAATGCTGCTTGATTCTGACTCCATTAATGTTCTTGAATACATTCTTCTGATACCCTGTGGATAATCAGAGTAAAATAGGATGGTAAAGCTACTATCCAATGATCCGGTTTATGATTGTTTAGGACAGGATCATCGCCAAGCATGAATCAAAAATGTCTCGACTGAATAGGTCAATCAGATGTATTCTAAACCGAGATCCACATATGATGTCCTGCTGCGTATGCATTCCCAGGAGTAAAACTTTAAATGGAATATTATACGGTCTTGACGGTCAAGATATTACGCTATGTATATCTAAAACAGAATTCGGACTGAATGAAGCAGAAATTAAAGCAACGTTCTTGACTGCAAAGTAAAATCTTTCACAGTTGTTGAACATTCGGGAGCCTTAAATACCTATAATGAAATTAATTAGTTAAAATTTTTCATATGGTTTGATTAGTTTGCGTGATGCCTAAGATTATTTTTTCACTATATAACTTTTCTTTTTTTAATGCTGAACGGCAGATCTTTTGGTAATTCAGTTTTAAACATAAAGTTCCAGCTTGGCTTCAGCTTCCAAGTTGGCCAGCATTTTTAAGGATGTGTCGGTTTTGCTCATAATTTCTAGCTTTTATACACTCAATTAATACGAATATGCTACTCTTTTTTTCAGGTATTTGCGTTTCTATCCCTGTTACTGGATAATTCGAAAGAATTCAGTAGCCTAATTACAGAAATATATTGTTCAATTACGGTTTCTTTGTAGGCCGTTCCAGAAGACAAGATTTTCAAGTTGTGTCATAATTACTGTGGTCTGAGAAGGAGTCTTCACGTTGTTATTTGTTCGCTGCAGTCTGAGTTTGCGTGTGTTAGCAGGTCCGCCGCAAGAAGTCCGTCAGCAATGCTAATTTTTCACGACATTTTCTCAGGTATGACGAAGCGGTGCTTTCAGTTTAAACTATTATTATTTTTGAGGGGATGAACTGTGCAGCGACAGTTACCCAATGTCCCTGGTCGATGACGTCGTTTATGAATTCACTGGCAAGGTAACTTTAATTCACATAACTGTTCTGCTCGCACGTTACCGCGTGTAGTGTTGCTTGTATATTTTAAATGAGGGCAGTTAATGTTATTTGTCTGTAATACAGTATAATGATGTAAAGTAATAGAAGGTAATAATGGTCATTCGCAGTGTTAGTTTCTGCAAGAAATTCAGATGAGTTCTTTGATCGACTGTCCTGCGAAGCGCACTGTTAGAAAGTATTTTAGTCGTTTTGCTGAATAAACCTAGCAGGCAATTCTTTACTTAAAGAAACGTTAGTAGCCTTCATCTCGACGGCCTTCTTTGCAAAACGATTGTGATTGCTGTCATTTTTGCTGTTGTCTGCGACCGACCATATCGAAGATCATAAGGTTGTCCATAGTTAACGAATGTAGCGTGTAAAACTACGAGAGAAAAGGATTCATGAATAAAATAATAACGTGCACATTAGCAGAACATAATCGATTCGAGAAGCAAAATGAATTTTCTGTATGCTTTGGATCTTTCATGGATGTAGATACTGAACATAAACTTTAGAGTAAATTTCGAAACAGCTAGGAAAAGGAATGAAAATATACTGATGCTGTGGTTCTGAACGCAGTGATAGTGTGATCGAACAGAGCAGTATTAAGACCAGGTTTATTTTTTGTGTAAATATGCCTACGGATAGTGGCATATCGGCAGGTGTCTGAACTTATTCGTCCCTTCGTAATGATGTGGTTTTGCATCCATGCACTGCATGTGCTGAAATACCATGGAGCCGCTGCATGCTTAGATGAGCCCCTATTCGGCTAGAAACAAGGAAACGGTGCCATTACGCCGTTTTAATCCCGTATCAAAAGGGAAAATGTCATTTCTCTTAGCGAAGGTATTGATAACAAGCAGTATGCAAGTAAACGTATAAAATCGGGTCTATTTTTTGTGTATAAAGCAAGTTTAATTACCAATTTTTCGATCGTACAACAGCTGTTTTCATCAAGGTCAATAAGACAGTATTAATGTTGTCTAACACTGAGGAAGACCGTTATTGTACTGTCGGACCTTTGGTAATAAAATTATTCTCTTTTACTCTTGTCTTTTGGATCCGACGACTGTCGCGTCCAAAGCCACTGCATCGAAAAGATCAATTTGTTTAGTACATGCTGCGGCATAACACTCAGTTTCCGATTTCGTAAATCAAAGATCAGTCAGTTTTTTCGATTTGTACCAGATCTTCCAGTCTGAGCAAAAATTTCTGCGATGTTAAAATGACGGATGAGCTGCACTGGCACTCTATGTGTGCTTTACTTCCATTCTTAACTGCGTTATTTAAGCGTAAAGTGCATTTTAAAGTTGTCATGTAAAAAGGCTTCGTTTCGCTGACAACTTTCTATTATGTTAGCAGTAGCTCCGTTCAATGTCGTAACTTCCAGTAAAACTGTGGTTTCGCGCTCATATGAGCAGGATTCATTGTGTACTTGCATGGCGAGAGATAGCAAATGTTATCTTCTCTTGTCACTAATATTAAACCCTCTTAAATGAAATGTTACCATGCAGCGGATTCGTAGTCCGCTTTAGGCTATTTAGTTTTGCAGTAGACGTTTTCACTTGACTATGAGAGGTAAGCGTAAAATCACCGCAGAAATCAACGGAATTTGCTTCCGACTGATGGCTGTTGAGTATTGTTGCACGTTTCGTTCATTCAGTTTTTTGTGTAGTATTGCCTCGACCCTTAAGAGTGGCGTAGTTACAGATAGAGTAAATGTGCACAAATTTTGTAACATTTTTGGTTTTCAGGTTTATTGCGTTGACTCTCGTAAGTAACTTCAGTAAGGTTCGGGTTGTTCTCACGTTTGATTAATGATGGCAGGCTTCTCAGAATTCATATCTTCTTGATGCTCTAAAATGACATTATTTCAGCATATCGTAAGGAAAGAAGGTGAAATTTCGCTGCCTGGCGCCAATCCTGCGGAGGGTGAAGTGGAGGACTATGGAGAAGCAAAAGTGGAAAGCGGTCTCGACATAGTCTTGAATCATCAGTTAGTTGAAATGCCTTTTTATGAAGATGTCAAAGTTTTCAAAGAATGGGCAAAGGAATATTTGAAAAAGTTCGTTTTTTATCTGTATTATGAAAAACGCTTGTCGAAGGTATTTACTCGCCTAAAAATATTTCGAGTCATTTGCAAATTAAATACAGGTTTGTCTCAGTGCGCTAAAACAGTGGATTTCGGTATGTATTTGACTAAATAAAATCCGTACAGATCCCGCCGTTTGAGATCGGGATGGTGAGAGCATTGTCAACGAATGGCAATAGAAATTGTTGCGCATTCATTCGTTCGTGTTTGGTAGCTGTTTGTTCTTTTGGGTCTTTGCTGTAACCGTTTTTTATTAGTGTGTGATTCGGACGAAGACAATTGAGTATGACAGTTGCTTCGACGTTTATGCCTACTCGTCCTGAATCTAAATTATTTTGCCCCTTGGTCGAAAAAAATTTTTTCTCGGTATCATTTACAGCGGCCTCCCCGAGACGTGTTTAACCGTAATATTTGACACTTATCAGTCGTTGAAAAGAAACATTCGTATTTTACGGAAAGTTTTATTCTCTGCAGAGGCTCAATAGGCAGCAAGCAGA